CGCACACGTCCACAAACTGTGCAACCTCCTCCCCGAAGCACCGCGCAAGAACCTCGTCAACCACTCCCGGGCTTATTTCCTCGCCCTCGACCGCGTCCAGCAACTCGCGCGCAAAGTCGCTTCTGAAAAGGAAAAACACGTCGCGGATCATTTTGAAGTGTCTGTGCACCCCAAACTCGGAAAACAGTCGGAGCTTCACATGCTCCTTCGCCCTCTCGTACACCTCCAGCACCCACTTCTCGTCAAACACGCCCTCGCTCGGCGCGTCTTCCAAGCACAGCGCGCCTCTGTCCCCCAGAAGGTGCAGCAGCCTCTTCACTCTTCCGGCATACACGATTCTTCTGGCGCTTCCAGCAGGTATGCACACAGGAATCTCGCTCTCCCCCAGCGCGGGCGTGCCCCACAGCACAGCTTCTTCCTGGATGAACAGGGACTCCGTTCTTTCCCCCTGCATCCACTTCACGAGGCTGTCTGAAAGCGGCACCTTGTACGCCCTCAGAATCTTCTGCGCCAGCTCCTGTGTCCACGGCGACGCTTTCATCTTCTCTGCAAACTGCACAATCTGCGGGCCGCAATTCTCTGGGAGGGAGGAAACCTCCTGCGCCAAGTGCAGCATCCTGTGCAGCCACTTCATTTTTCCTGCGTGCTTCACATAGAAAGAAAAAAGGCTGTCGACAGGCTCTGAGTATATCGCATTCCTGTACGCGCCCAGCTCTTCCCGCAAAGCCTCGTAGAACACGTTTTCGCATGCTTTGCTGTGCTTGCTGCACAGCGCATTCAAGCTCGCGTATGCTTCGCCTGCTGCACACACCTCATGCGCTATGTCAAAGAGTCCGGGCAGAATTTTCTTTTTGAGAAGCCTCCCTTTTCCGTCTGCTATTTCTCTAAACCACGACATGTACACCCCGATGCTGGCATTCTTCACGGCCCCGAGCGCGGTCTCCTCGGGGTCAACGGCGCACTCGCTTTCTGCAGCTGCGCCAGATGTTTCTTTCAGCTTGAACAGAAAGTACACCGCCTTTCTCACCTCAGGGGTGCTCTTCAGCAGCAGCTTCTCCACTTTGCAGTGGCTCTCTGGGCACAGAGCAGCCCTGGAAAGCGTTTTTATCTCGTGCGTGGACGGAATATAGAGGGACAGCTTCGTGTATGGCAGCAGATATTCCACCAGCGCCTTTTTTCTATCCTTGGACAGTACTATGTTTCGGTCTCTGCAGTACACCTCTATGATGCTCGCCACGGTGTCTCGCGTGCTTCTAATCGCAGGAAAATGCATAAAAATATTTGTGCTGCGCCATAAATACAAAGCGAGCCTTTGGGCCGACTGCACATAAGAGCGCGCATCTTTTACATAGCTGCTGTTTATTTTCGCGTGCTCACATGCGCAGTGCCCGAAAGCGGACAGTCTGCGCACTGCACACTTTGCATCTCTGTTGAATAGCACCATTCCTAGAAAGTGTCTGTGAAACTTTCCGCCGCGCGCTTTATTTCCACGGCCAGCTGCTTCCTTGCACTGCGCCTGTAAAAGGGGAAACTCCGCAGGAGGGAGCGTAAACATCAGTTGCAATACGGGAAGTGCCAAGTGAAACTCTGTCTTTTGTTCCTTTTGGCCTGTTTAAATAGAGCAAATCGGATTGCTCGGATGTGTGGGTAAGAAAGCCACTTCTCTTATCGTATTGAGCAATAGCCAATCCTGAGTATCTATGCTTTCAGCATACAACAGCACTACAGATTATGTGGATGGGTTTATGTTTGCACTCAATTCTGTCTCCGAAGCATGATGATTAGATAGATGCTCGTCCTATCTGCGGCGAGCTTGCATTGCTGTCTTTGTCCTATGCAGCAGTAAAGAAATAAATGGAATATTTCGAAGAAAATGCACTAAAGCATCTAGACATGTCCAAAGCCAGAAACCAGCCTTAGACCCAGATGGTTCTTCCGATATTGCAGCCCTGCCAACTGGCGCATGGGCATTTCCATTACAAAAGAATGGCTTTTTCGGGTTTCTGCCCAGCTCTGTTCATATTTCTGCAAAGGCAAATTATAAATCCATACGCTTGAATTTTCATTTTTGACTTGGTTTTATTCTAGCCCTCTGGGCATGCGCGCAAATGTAAATGTGTACGGCTTAAAAAACACACACAAAAATAGCATCCAGCAGAGGAGAGCGTAGCGAGAAAGCATAGCCCAGGCAGAACGCAAAGAAAGTGGTATCTGATGCAGTTTCTTTAAAACAGCAAAGAGACCTTCTTTCTTGGCCATGCGCAGTTTATTTCTAAGCGGCAGAAACAGTGTGTTCGTCCGGCATGTTTCAAAAACTGCTGGGCTTTAGCACACACAAAAAGCATGTATTTGCACAGCAGCAACGTTTTTAGAGACTTTTCAGGCATGCAGATTGCTTATTGCTGTCTTTTATTTAAAAAAACCTGCTTTAGGCGTGCGTGCTGAACTGCTGTATAATGTGCATGCGCCCGTGGCTTCCTGAAATATGGGCGCTTTCCTGGTATCAGGGCAAGCCCCCGGGCTGAAAGGTTGCTAGACAGGGCGCAGGGAAGGCCTGCGCGTTACTCAGGCTGCTCGATTTCTGACAGCATATGCTCAATGGTCTGGAGGCTGACCATTTGTATGTTCCTGTGCATGGTTTCGGCAAACTCTTTTTCTGGTATTGGGTACTCGGCCAGCTTGAAGAGTATTTGCATTCTTTGGTCTGGCTCTTTTATTCTTTCAGTTATGTATGCTCTATGGCCAACCTCTACGAGTGCTGAAGCAGCATGAAACAAAACCGGAAACCCGCGCGCGTAGAAGAGGTCCAGAATGATTGCATACACTGCCGGGGAGAGACGCGAAAACAGGGTAAGGTACCACCCTGCAGAGTAGTCGTGCGTGCTGTTGCTGATTTTCTGGACGCTTTTTCTTATGGTTTCGGGAAGCGTCAGGTTAAGGACTCTTTCGTGCACGCTGAGCACCTTTGCCACCAGGGACAGCTTTTTGTCAAACAGCCTTTCTATCCGGTTCTTTTGTATTGTGCGGCACAGTATGGAAAAAGACTCTTCCGCGGTGTAGAAGTGCAAGAGAAATGCTGCATAGTAGGAGAGGCCCTGGCAGTACTCGATCGAGCTATTGTACTTTGCAAACGCAACAAGCACTTCCTTTAGCTCCTTTTTTCTTTCGGGCGCGCTGTATTTCCGCACCTCTTGGCCCAAGGCGCCCATTGGGGCGTGCTCGGCGTGCACTGATCGCTCAATGTCCACTTCAATGTTCTGGAGCGCCTCGGGCGGGATGCACGAGCGCTTCATTTTGTCAAAGTCTTCCTGCATCGGGTTGTACATGAGCTCTTTCCACGCGGTTGCTCTTGCTTTCATGTGCTGTCACAGAGGAAAGATATGCATATAAGAACGTGTTTCAGAGTGAAATTTTTTTATTAGCACACCAAAAATGAGCACAGAAACACAAGTCTTTCCCAAATACAAAGTAAAGAAGCTGGAGCTGTCTGAAGAAGGAGAAGAAGCTATTCTGTTTGCAAAAAACGAAATGCCTGGGATAGCGTACTTGCGAAACAAATACGCCGAAGAAAAGCCGCTGAGGGGGGCAAGGATATCCGGGTGCCTGCATATGACAGTGCAGACCGCCGCCATGATCGAGCTTTTGGTGGACATGGGGGCAGATGTTGCGTGGTGCTCCTCAAACATTCTTAGCACGGAAGACAAGGCCGCAGCTGCTTTGGCGCAGAGGGGCCTGAGCATATATGCGTGGAAGGGGGAAACCGACGAGGAGTACAAGTGGTGCTTGCAGGCAGTGCTTTCCAAGTGGGAAAACGGCCCAAACATTGTAATAGACGATGGAGGCGACTTGACAAACCTTCTCCACACAGAGTACAGCCACCTTCTCTCTGGGATAATAGGCCAAACAGAGCAAACAACGACCGGCACGCACATTCTCCAGAGCATGCACAAGAGAGGCGTTCTGCAGATCCCCGCGATTTGCATCAACGAAAGCGTGATGAAGAGCAAGTTTGACAACATATACGGGTGCAGAGAGTCTCTTACCGACGGGATAAAAAGAGCCACGGACGGGATGATTGCTGGAAAAAGAGTGCACGTGTGCGGGTTTGGAGACGTGGGCAAGGGCTGTGCGCAGGCCATGTCTAGGATGGGCGCGGTTGTGACAATTTCAGAAGTCGACCCAATATGTGCCATGCAGGCGGCCATGGAGGGGTACCAGATAAGGCAAGTCGAGCAGGTGGCGGGAGACGTCGACATTTGGGTGACAGCAACAGGAAACCGGGACATCCTCACGGGCGAAACCATCCAAAAGATGAAGCACATGGCAGTTCTGTGCAACATTGGGCACTTCAACGTGGAGATAGATGTCGAGTGGATATACGCACACGCAGAGAAGCGGATCAGCATGGGGAACAACGCAGAGCGGATTCTTATGCCAAACGGCAAGTCCCTGGTTCTTCTTGCAGAGGGGCGCTTGGTGAACCTGGGGTGCGCCACAGGCCACTCAAGCTTTGTGATGAGCACAAGCTTCTCGTGCCAGGTGCTTGCTGTCATGCGCCTGTGGACAGAGTTCAAGGCAAGCGCTGAGAGCCGAGGAAACGTGCTTTTCCTTACAAGAAAGGAGGACGAGGAGATTGCACGAATGCATCTGCTGGGGATGGGCCATGCGCTGACAAAGCTCACGCCCGCGCAGTCCTCATACATGAGCGTGCCTGTTGAGGGGCCGTATAAGAGCGACGCATACCGATATTAACAAGCAGCGTGCGGTAGAAATTTGCCACAACTCGCGAGCCAGCGCCAAAAGAAAAAGATCGCAGCAGATGTTTTTGGAGCCTGCCAAATCAATTTGGGATGTCGGAAGGTTAAAAGCATACTGAGAATTTTATTTCCACAAGGCGGGCAGAGTTTGCTTGCAAAAACAATAAATTAGCAATAGTTACACAGTCTACAAGGGGGTGCGCCGGCCGAGCTTACAGAACAGCGCGCTTGGGCAAGCCAGAAGTCTGAGCAGGCTGCCATGCCGCCCGGACACACTGGCATTGCAAGGGCGATTGCCCAGAAAAGGCTTGGCACGCCTTCGTGGACTTGCTCAGGCGTAGCTTGGCCGCCTCGAGAGCCTGCTGCGTGCTTGCCATGCGTGCGTAGCGCAGTTCGTTTTTCTGCAAATGCAGCTTCTGTGCATACACTTGGGCGCGCAGCACCAATTTTTCTAATTGGATTTTTAATATTTGCGCAGCCCCTTATTTCTCACTTGCCTTTCTGGGCATATTGGCGGTGGCGCGAGGTGTGCCTGCTTTCTGGCTGGGATTTCTGTTTGTTTGCGCGTTTGTTTACACTGTTCAAAAAGTGGCACCTGCTTTGTTTGTGTACATGTCTTTCTGCTTAGGTTGTTTTCTTCCAAACAAAGGGGTTTCTTTGGTGCAATAGCTCTTCCGCGCTCGAAAAGTCAGGCTTCGCCCAAGTTCTGCATGCTGCGCTTTCTTGCGGAAGATGTTCAGCGCAAGCCCATTGGGCATTTTTTTGTGCTGAGGTCTAGGCGCTCTTTGTCAGCATATGGCCTTTTATAAAATAGAAGTGACCAATTAAATTTCATCATTTAGTGCGCCATTCAACTGCATCACAACTTATATTTCTAGCTTTTTTTATTTGTTGATAACCCGTTCATATGGACGAACATGACAACCACTATAAAGGAAAGAAGGCAAAGAGTATGCCTCAAGAAAAAGAAGAAATGCAGGTGAAGGGACCGTGGACAAGAGAAGAAGATGAAAAGCTCCGGACTCTTGTTAAGGCGTTTGGGCCAAAAAGGTGGACCTACATAGCAAAGAAGCTAGGGGGGAGAGTAGGAAAGCAGTGCAGAGAAAGGTGGCACAACCACTTGGACCCAAACATAATAAAAACTCCATTTACGTCGGAGGAGGACAGCATCATTCTTTCTTTGCACAGCAAGTATGGAAACAAATGGTCAGACATTGCGAAGCACCTTCCAGGTAGAACAGACAACGCCATAAAAAACCATTGGAACAGCAGCATGCAAAAGAAGGTTCTGAAAGCAAAAAGAGCGAATAGTGTGTCCGGAGACTTTATTAGCGCGCACGCGGAGTTTCGAGAGAGCAGAAAGTTTTTCAACGAGGACGGGCTGGAGAGCAGCTGTCCCCGCAGAAGAACCTCTTCTGTTTTTATTCCTGCTCAGAGAAACGACAGTCTGCTGAATGCGCTGGCACAATCAGCATATAACGAACTTTTAAAAACAAAACAGATGTATTATAGTGAAGGGCGTCCTCCCCTGCAGCGATGGAATATTCCTCTACAGACCATACAAAACGTAAGTGCTGATCGAACCAAAAAAAACTCATCCGATGAAGAGGAGGTCATGGCCGGGCTGGTCCTCTTGGCCACAGGCGAAAAATATTGAATAAAGCATTTTCGTATTTATTTTTGCTATGAATATTAGAAAATTATTCGACAAGATTCGCAGTGCCGACTCGTTTAACGCATTTTGGACGTATCCTGAGGAAAAAAATCTTTCCGTCTTAGAGGGAAAGCTTTCCTACATAAAGTCGGCCAGGGAATTGCGCTCGGCAGTTGTGCAGATCTGCAGCCAGGCCTTTGAGGAGAACGACGAAGGCAGTTTTTTGTACACAGAGGCGCAGAATCTGCTGCGGCACACAGAAAGCGTGGTGGAAAAGGCCGTTTCCATTATAAACCCTTCGGGCGCGTATGCGGAGGCCGTGAGCCTGAAAGAGGAGAAGGAAAAGAATAGATTTGCAATGTGGGAAGAGTCTGTGCGAAACAAGCTGTGTCAGCTGTATAGCGAGTCTCTCCTAGAATTCACAAAGGACGTCTCTGCGCACGAGGTGCAGGAACATGTAAAAATAGTCCTTTTTGGAGAAGAGCGTAGCGATTTGCATGCTCACATTGCACACTAGCGAATATTTGTATCAAGCTGCTTGCCGTGCAGAGTGTCCAAGCGCCGGGGCGCGCAAAGCGCTGCCCCATTAGAGCAGCGGACATGCTCGCTTTGCTTATTGCTCGGGCGGGCCAACTGTTTGGTTTTTGGGTTCGCTTGGAATGTTTTCAGAATAAATTAAATGCGTTTAGAATGTAATGTCTTCAGAATTGCTGAAATATTTTAAGCTGTTTATTTTTACATTTGCATGCGCTGCGCGCCGTTTTGCATTTAGAAAGGCTGCAGAAAAATGTGTGTTGCATGCCTGAAAAACAGTGCGGAAGAAAATGCAAGGGCTGCTTCTGGAACGCTGCCTGGGAAGCATTTACAGAGCCGGGCTGTTTCCAGCGCCGGGGTTCCGCTTGGCAGGGGCTTCTGGCTGCATAAAGACAGGGCGCGTTTACTTTCTGTCGCTTAGCGCCTGCACTCCAGGAAGTATATCCCCCTGCAAGGCGGACAAAGTCGCGCCGCCCCCTGTGAATACAAGGTCGAAGGAGTCTGCGTGCCCGTTTGCGTTTATGTATCCCCCGGTGTCTCCGCCGCCTGCACATATCATTGTGCGCTCGCCTTTTTCGACCAGCGCGTGCTTCCTGCGTCTGATGGCCTCCAAAGCGGCGTTTGTGCCGTGCGAAAACTCTTTAATCTCTGCCTGTCCAAGCGTCCCATTCCAGAAAATGCACTTGCTCTGCGAAATCAGCTCTTTTAGCTTTTCTTCCGTTTCGGGGCCGATGTCCTTTATCCGGCCCGTGCTCTCGCAGGCCTTTTTTTCGCATATAACGGTTTGGTCGTCCAAAACATAGTCTGCGGGGTAGAAGAGCGACACGCCCTCATATATGATGCTCTCTATAAGGCTTTCTGTTTGCGGGGCGATGGGTCTCTGCAGAAGAGGCACAGCGAGCAGCCCGCCCAGAAAGATGTTTGATGCTATCTTGGCAAGGTTCTTGACAAGCTGTATTTTATCTTCTAGCTTGCACCCGCCGATAATCAGCAGGTCGATTGGCTTGTTTTCCTGTGCTTGGAAGTTTTTTGTGTCCTTTCCAACCCGAATGAACTTCTCTATTTCTCTTTTGTTTACGCTGTTCAGCGGAGAGTGGTCCTGGATGGGCTTTGTCTTCCCCAGCAGCAGGCTTATGCCCTGCATTTCTGAGTCTATTAGCGTTCCTGCGACCTTCTCCAGATTTACGTCCACCACGGAATAGTCGGCCCGATGGAGAACTGCAAACGCGTCGTTCACCATCAGGTCGCAGTTCTCGCGGATGAAAGAGTCAAAAAGAGCCTTGCTTTTTTTGTCGCATCTGTCTTTTTCTACCTTCAAGCTCCGCAGGTTCTGCACAAGCACCCATTTGTTGTGCGTTTTAGCTCTTTTCATGTGCTCAAACACAAACTGCACAGGCACTCCCTCGCGCGCAAGGCACTGGTTGAGCTCTTGCAGCACTGGAAGCATGCTTCTGTCCTGCGGGCTGCTCTCGGGGTCTTCGTCGCACGCGGGCCTCCCCAGATGGGACCCAATGACTATGCTGGCAGCGCCTTCTCGCAGAAGAAAGTGAATGGTTGGAATGCTCTTCGCAATCTTTGCGTTATCTATTATTGCCCCGTCCACAATGGGGACGTTGTAGTCAACCCGCAGAAATATCCTTTTTCCCCGGACGTCCACATCGTCAAGCGCCTTTTTGCCGGAGTACACTTCATGCGTCCACGCTTTCATAAACACACAAATTATTTTAATCTTCTATTTATTAGTGTGTTCTCTATTTTTTTGCACATATGCTTCTTGCTGCAACCTCCGGTAATTCATGCATTTCCTCAACAGTTCTTCTATAAAATGGATTGAACTGGCAGGTTTCATAGTGCTTCTGGGCAGAAATTTGCTCAGGCTTGAATGTAAACAGGGCGGAAAGCCCCTCTATGTTCTCAGGTTCGCTTGTAGGGTGTTTCGGCTCAACAAACGGCTCCTTTTCCTGAGGTTTTCTTTCCTCTATGATCTTCTCTATTTTCGTTTTTAGCACAAACATCTGGTCCCGCGCAAAGGAATCTTCGTCTCTTCCCTTTTCGTGCAAGTACAGGCATCCCTCGTTGCTGCATTTGATTTTTCGCAGAAAAAACGAACAGTACTTTGTTGTCCCGAACGTGCAGCGAACGGCTTTTTCTCCTAGCCTAAAGCCATCCATTTCTCGAATGGCCTCCACTGCATACTCCTCCCTCAAATATGTGATGTATGCACTAAAACCCCCCTCGCAGCTTTTGTCAGGCTTTATCTCTTTTCTCTTGCTTAGCACAATCTTGACTATCTCGCCAAATCCGCCAAATAGGCTCTTTGACCGAAGCAAGTCCTCTCTAGCAAATTCCACGGGAATACCTACTGCATACACCAGATTTCGTTGGAGCACTCTTACATTTAGAAGATCGTCGTTTTCCAAATACTTTCTTTCCACGGATTCTGACTGCATTTCTTATGGCTTTCCGTTCTTAATAAAAATAAATGAAATATTAACTATTTGTTTTTTTGTTTTTGCATGTCGAGGAGCAACGAAAGGTACAACTATTTCTGCATGTTTACGCCCGAAGGGAAGATACTTCCGATTGAGGGAGTCATCAGGTCAACCGAGCACGGGAGCTCCTGTGTGGCACTGCGAAACAAAAACATGGCAGTGGTTATATCGCAAAGAACCAGCAAAAACGACAAGCTGACAGACGGCCAGACCAAGATAAAGCAGCTGGACGACAACCTTGTATACGTGTACTCGGGCATAACAAACGACGGGGTGAGGTTTGGAAACGACTTGAGGGACCAGATACAGTATGCAAAGTACATGCAGGGCTCGTCTCCCCCGGTTGCGCAGCTTCTTGAAGACAAGCAGTTTGAAAACGCGCTTGAAATAATGAGGTACGGGCGAAGGGCCTCTGGCATTTCTGTGATTCTTGCTGGAGTGGACAAGGACAAGATAGAGGTGTTTGAGATGGGTCCAACAGGAGAGCTCATTCCCTGCTTCGGGTCATGCATAGGGTCTCGCGCGCAGTCGGCCCGGACTATTTTGGAGCCGCACGGCGAAAGCATTTCAGAAATGCCAGACAACGAGCTTCTTTCATTGGGCATCCTAGCCTTTAAAAACGCAGTGAACGATCCCGATGTAATTTCGCGAGGGCACTTTGATGTGTGTAAGGTTTCCTTGTCCGAAGGCGTGGTGTTCATCCCTGGCTCAGAGATAGAGGCATAAGCTAATAAATACAAGCATGTTTTCTTTACACTGGGCCTGGGCAGGCACAAAAATAAACAAAAATAAAAGTGTAAAAAACTCGCACTGTCTTCTCTTTTTGTACAGGATTAATTCTGAAAATTGCACGTGTTTGCGCGCATGCGCAAAGTTCGAAGAAACCCAAGAGAATCTCTGCAAGCCCAGGCAGATGCATGTTTTTACATGCCCTTTATGCGCTCTGTGTCTGTGCGCCTGCATCTACCTTGAGAAAATGGCTCTTTCTATGGAGAGCACAGGAAGAGCCTGCCCTGCATAGAGCTCTGCGCAAAGCCAGCAAACCCAGGCGGTTCAGCCAGAGCCATTTTTGTGCAGCAAGAACAGGCGAGTTTTTAGAAACAGTTGCAGGCGGTCTACACAATATGTGTGGAGGTGGCCGAAGGCTGCGTAATGCATGGCTTTATGTGTGCGGCTCCTTCTCTGCAAGCGACCAGTATGGCCTGCTTTTTGCTGGGCGCGCGGGCCAAGACCATGGAAAAGCCACACTGTCCTGGCCTGGCGGCGCTGCAGAGCATGCCCATACACAGCGCACCGAATACTTCTATGCGATTGCCAGCTATTCTGCTGAGGCACACTTGCTTGCGTCTTTACTTGCAATGTAAAAATAAAATTGGCAATCCGAGTCTGATGGTACACAATGACGGCCAAGATCACTCACTTGGCACAAAGCTTCCGAAGAAACAATGCAAGCACACAGCAGCATGCCGCCCAATAATGGAATAGTAGCTGCGCTTTTTGCTCTGCCCTCAGAGAACTCTAGCTTGTTTCTGGGGTGCTGCAGCAGACCCCGGCATTCGCTCTGCGAAGAAGCAGCCTCTGCGTGTTCTTGGGCTTCCATGCAGTGGCGTCTGAATGTAAGACAAAGAGCTCGCACGCTTTTTAAGCTTGCAAGCTAGCAGTCAAATGGGGCTCGAAAATGTGGATCTGGCGATATTCTTTGCTTTTTATCAGCACATGATTTCATATGAGCATATCCGGCGCACTGTGGGCAGGTCATGCATGCGATGGCCCATGCCAAAAGACCCGGTGCAAGGCAGGACATGCGCATAGACAGGCACAGGCCCATGCCCATGCCCATGCGGGCTGGCTTAGAAAGGCGTGTTTCCTGCTAACTAATCATTAAAAACTCATCATATGTTATATGCAAAAAATTTTAGAAACAAGTGGCATGAAGTTGCAAATAGTTTTAGTTACGTGCGGTTTATATCTGTCCACTGTGCGCGCCAATATGTTCCTAAAAGCGGATGAATACTCCATGGAAAGCGAGCATGTCCCTTCTGTGGAAACAGAAATCACATTAGAAAAGATTTTAGAGGGGAATACAGAGGGAGTGGTTTTAAACAGCGAAGCTCTAGATGCTGCAAAAGACAAGAGGACGGCAGAAAGGCCAAAGAGGCAGAAACAAAAAGTGCACACGCACGAAAACAAGAAGGACAAGATAGAGAGCGTAAAAAGGGGCTTTTTTCAAACTATTTCCAAGAAGTACGAAGAAATTGTAAAGAAGCTAGCACAAAATAGCAGTGCGAACGAAAGGGGAAATTTGCTTGACTTATTTGATGAAAAATATGCTCCTTGGTTTCTTCTGCTCAGCTTCATGCTGGGCTGCAACATGGTTATGTTTGGAATAAGGCACCAGCTGTTCAACATTTTCATAATAACCAGCATACACGCGTTCAAACACATATACACGCAGTATGTGCAGAAGCTGTTTGACAGCCACGTGTTCCTAGATGCGCTGAGCTCGGAGAAACTCGAGTGGATTAAGCCATACATACTGCACGAGAGGTTTAGGCTGGCGGCGTGCGGGCTTGTGTGTCTTTTTCTTTCTTCTGTTATATGCTGGGCCATAAACACAGCGCTGAGAACAGTTGTTTTTCTGGGGTTTATATACGCGCTTGGGTATTTTCTCATGCAAGAGAAGATAGTTGCCTTGTCTGGAATGAGAAAAATATCTCTTCTAGTCATTCTTTTGGTCGGCTCCTTTATACTGAACAGGATTCTGTACAAGCGAATAACCCGATACATGCTCATACTAACATTTGGGTTCTATGGAGCGCTGCTGATCCTTTTGCCGGCGTCTGAGGTGCTAAACATAGGGCTTACTATTCCTAGCCTGGTTCTAAGCTACACCACCTGTGTGAAGGAGAGCGACATTTCGCTAAACGAAGAGTATGCATACATTGGAGTGCTGATGGTGGTGTCTATCATTCTGCAGGCCCAGACCACAAAAAAGAAAAGCAAATAAGGCTGCACAAAAGCGTGCCGCAGAAGGCTGGAAAGAACCGATAGCGTGCACACTAGGCGCGGAGGCCCGGTAGGCCCGAATTGCACACAATAAACACACAGGGGTTCACTTGCAAGCATACCATTAGAGCCTGTCCAAGAGCCAATGCAGGTCAGGCTGCGCCAGCAGATTCTTCAATGCCACTTTTCTATCTGCATGTGCTGTGCAAGGAGAACTTACATTGGGCGCGCCCTGGATGGCTTGGGGCGTGCGCAAGCAGTATGCGCAACTTGCCTGCTTTGGGGCACGCAGCCTGGCCGCAGGCGCAGCACAGATGCTGGCAGGCAGGGGCGCGTACATATGGCAGAAAAAGGCAGGCCTTGTCCGCAAAATTCTGCTTCTGCTTTTGCACAGTTTGGCCGACCAGAGAAGAACATAAATTTTTTTAATTTTAGTGCCCCAGATGAAAGTAGAAGAAATCTGTCCAGCCAAATTCATAGATGCCCTATCAAAGGCTCTGAAGGAAGAGAAGAAAATAGAGAAGCCAGTTGAGGCCGATCACATCAAAACCGGGCACGGAAGAGAGCAGGCGCCAATCCAGGAGGACTGGTACCAAATCAGAGCAGCCTCTCTGCTCAGAAAGCTTTACATGGAGGAGCTGACAAACCCCGAGAAGAGCAAGTACGGCTTTGGAGTTATGTGGTTTGCACGCGTCTACGGAGGGTCAAAGAACAACGGACACAAGCCATCACACACCGTGTCAGGGTCCAAGAGTCTGGTAAGAAGACTACTCCAATCTCTTGAAAATGTTAAACTTGTTTCTAAGGTGAGCATGGGAGGAAGAAAACTGACCCAAACCGGGCACTCGTACCTCAAGAGCATTGCAGAAAAAGTAGCAACAGCATAAATAAACGTATTTCTTTAAATATAAAATATTTTTTTATTCGCATGCAAATTAGCTATAAAGCAGCAGAGGGGTTTTTCCTTTTGGTTCCAATTCTACTTTCGTACGCCTTCAAGGGCAAGCTGAACGAAATTCTTACGCAGCACGTGCTGTACGTTCGGATTGCCTTTGTGGTTTCGATGTGCATAGACCTTCTGATTTCGTACAGAATCAAGTGCCGAGTGGAGCTGCACAACGTGAAGACAAAAATCAAGTTTGCCTTTGACGACTATGTTGTTGTGTCCAAGCCTGCGCGCGAAAACAAGGACCCCAAGCAGCCAGCGGAGGATGAGGAGGAAGAGACCGAAATAGAGATGACTGTGCACGACTACGACCTGAAGGTTATCAACTCGCACATGTCTCGAATGCTGTACAATGCAGCCATCCATTTGGCCATCCATTTGTACAGTAAGAGCACGCAGCCCATGATTATGCTCATAATGAATCCGGTGAAGAACTTCATCTTCTTCCCCCCGTACATTGAGTATATCACAGGGTGGTCAATGCTCAGGCCATTTTCAAGAAACTTTATAATTGGAGGGGCCGAGAAAAGGCGGACAACAAAGCCTGCAGAGTCCCTGGAAGAGATCCCAGAAAAAGACATGAAGGTTAAAAAAGAAGAATAGGTGAATAAAGTGCTCTTTTAGTACCATCAGACAATACACATTTTTATTTAGCTTGCTTCTTCGCCCAGTGGGAGGGCTTCGTGTTGCGCTGAGGCTTCGTCAGAGGCTGCCAGGCTTGCGATTTTTACGCGCGGGGTTTTCCGGGTGCTCTCTGCATTTAGGAAGGCCTTTATTACATTTTTTGTGATGGCCCGAACCTCCGAGTTCACAAGCGCGCTCTGTGGGTCTATCATAACCCGGATTCTCTCGTGCTTTTCCTTCCAGTCCGACAAAACTTTTTGCACCTCCAAAACATACCATGTCACGCCGTCCTGCACAAACGCAGGCTTTTTGTCTATCCTTCCAATGAGCCCGGCCTCTTCAATTGCTTCTTTTCCTGCGGTGTAATACCCAACCTCGCCCTTTTCTATGCCGCCCTTCGGGAAGATAAACTTCTTCTTGGCCCTTCCGTTTATCATGAAAAGCTTTCCGTCTTTCACTGGTATACATCCGGCAAGAGGCCGGCCTTTCTTTATTCGTAGAGACTTATTTGCCCCATTTCTGAAGCTGAGAAATATTGGCCACAAAACAAACATGCACACAACAAACCCCAGAACCACGCTTACAATTGCTCTTTTCATGCTGCCAAGCCATCTCATGGCAGGGTTATATAGGCGTATATGATGTTTCATCTCTTTAGAAACACTTAATGAAACATTACAGAAAACACATCCACACTGCACCATGCAACTGCAAGGCGCCTACTGGCTGCGCCGTGTTCTCTAGTGCGGTGAAAAGGCGCACACAGAAGGCATGCATATAGCAGCCCCTCTGTTATGCCCACGGCAGGCGCTTCTATTCCGCGTGCTACTCTGTGCCAAGCGTGCAGAGCGCTTTGTAGAGCTGAAGAATGTTTGTGGCCTGCTTAAACAAAAAAACTGCGCCAGTCACCTTAAGCAGAAAAATGCTGTGAAAGTAAAGAACATTTAGCAGAAACACCTCGGCCCCTAGGCACACAAGAAACAGCACAGGCTTTGCATAGTACACAGACAGCACTTTGTCTATAGCTCCGCCACCGCCATGCGCTTTGTGCGATGTTTTCTTGAGAAACCGACATGCAACGCAGAACATGTGCGAAACAATGTCTAGCACAAGGCATGGGCCAAGCATCGTTGAGATGTGCGGGTATGCAGCAGATATGCGGACCAGAAGCACGCCTGTCGAGGCCCTGTCTATGCTCATATCCAGGATATACCCAAGCTCAGACTCCTGCTTCAGACGCCGTGCCATGTGCCCGTCTAGCGCGTCTAGAAGATACGAAAGGCTGTACAGAAGCACAAACCCCCGCGATTCAAACAGGGTTGAAAGAAGAAGAAGAATGGCCCGAACATATCCTATGACGTTCGGCGCGTACAGTATGGTGTTTCTCGGTGCTGGCTCTTTGTCTACCTTGTCCTTCATAATAAAAAAATGTGCTGGATAGGCTTCATTTCTTTGGACAAGCGAACCATGCCCAGAAAGCCCATTATGCGTGGCAGAGCACGCGCTGAAAGCAGCATAGTGGAATAAAGGCCTGCGGCAAGGACACGCCCGAGAGCTGCCGATGTGTGCATGGGCGTGCGCTTCTAGCGGGGAAAAGTGCATGGGCTACCCGCTTTGTGCGAGCCACCTGCAGACTGCAGAGTGCTAGCGCCCTTCATGCTTTAGCACAGGCTGCAGCCTTTTCAATCCTGCTGGCTTTTATCTGGCATACGACAATAAAACAAAAAATTGAGGTGGCAGGGGGCGGCCCGTGTGCTTGGGGGCCTTTTTCAAGTGCGCTTTGGAAGAGAGCTTCAGGAACTGCGGGCGTGTTTTGCAGGATGTTTTTTAAATGCTGCACAGATGTGCACACAGAGCGGGCTGGGCAGGAGTTCTAGGCCTTGCGTGCGGAGTGTTTTTCTGGTCACATGTTTTTGCGTGAGGGCTGCAGATTCTATATATCTTATTTTATTTTTATTTTCACAATGTATCTCAGCCCACTTGCAGAGAGTCTTGTTTCTGCTCTTCTGACATGCGTAGTGTCGGTGGCAGCCTATCTCATGTGTGTTGAAATCAAAGAGCTGATATGCATGAAGCTGTTTCCTAAAGAACACAACCCGCACTGCATAGATGTATATAGGAAAACAAATCAGTATGCGAATCAAACAGGAAAATACTAAAATATGTGCGCGCCAAAGAAACAAAGTAGTACAAGAAAATAAAGAAAACCTTGTTTATTTCTCTAGGCTTCAAACGCAAAGACGTCATTGCAGACGTGTGCTCGGCTTGCGCAGGAGAAACCCGCATCTTCTTGCAAGTGGAGTGCATAAAAATCAGCAGGAGGCTCAAAGAACAGAAAGCACAAGCGCCGGGCGCGGTGCAGAGTTTCGACTCGCAGCACAGGCCGCTGGCTTTTATAGCTTAGGATGCTCCACTATGTCAGGCGCAGGGCCGCCCAGGCTCTCCACAGTTTGCACTTTATCATTGCGCATAATGATTATTATTAAAGTCAAGAAACCAATAAAAAGGGCGCCTGTCCATTTGATTATCCGCCAGCGTGTATTTCCAAGCATCTCGTCCACAATATCGTCATTGAAAAACAGCTGGAAACTAGATGCGCTGGTGTCTGTGTCAGAGTTCTCTAGCTTAATTGCGATCCGCCGGCTTTTTTTTCTGCCACTTTGGTTGTACATGGCCATTATCCTGTCTGTGATTTCTTTGTGCTTTCTCTGTATGTCTTCTAGGCGCATTCCAACAATGCGCCCCAAGTCAAGGAAGCAGTCGAGCATATATGCCTTCATATTTTCACTGCATTCTTCTTTTTTGCAGATCCACTCGAGCACTCCCAGCTTCATGCAGTGGTGTCTATTGCACTGTTCTGGGGGCTGGATGATGCGCTTGGGGTTGGGCGACTCCTTTTTGCTCATGGAAATCAGATAGGGCATGTTTATGTGCTGTCCTTTCGGGTCGATCAAGTCCTCTAGGATCTCGTATACATTGCACACCTTCCCCCAGCTATTGTACAGCGCCAGCAGAAGGCGCTTGTGCTCCGTTGGCATTCCCAGGGCCTTCTCTGCAAGCTGCTCTGTGCACCCCAGAAAAATGCCTCTTCTGTACTCCTGCAGAAGAAGCAGCGCAGCGTCTAGGTTGTACACGCCGCGCGAGTTTTTCTCAAAAAGGTCTATTGGGTGGAGCAGCATGCCGGGCTCTGTGCATCTTTGCACACTCTCTACCAGCGCGCTCAAGTCGCCTTCTAGCTTAGCCAGGGTAAATATAGAGAAAAACGCCCTGCGCGCAAGGGTTTTATGGGCATACTGCAGATACTGCAGCGCGCTTTCTCGGGAGCTGCTCTTCAAAACATGTGTATACCAGGCTTTTATGGCATTGAACATTTTTCGGGTGCACCCATTGTCGAGAATGTCTTCTACAGCGGATAGTAGGGATTTGTAAACGACTTTTGCGTTTCCTATGTGCTCTATAGACAGACTGGTTAACACAGGCATAAGGCGGTTGGTGCTTAGGCTGTTCTTGGTAATGATTTCCTCAATGAGATAGAGCGCTATGTCATGCATACGCGCGTCTAGCTCTTTATCCCCGCTGTCTATTTCCATCTCGACGGTGTTTGCCACCAAAGAGTACAGCTCTCCGATTATAGCGTCGTTTCTGCACTGTTCTATGCTTTCTCTGTTTGCTGCAAAAGAGGCTATTTTCTTCAAATTTGCATATAGTTTCGTATGGCTTAGGAAAAACCCCATCTTGAGCGTTTCAGGTAAGCTTTCATCCGGTGTCTCATTATCTGCAGAAGAAGTGTTGGGCTCCTTGTTTTCTGTTTCGCTCTTGCACAAAAGGGGAATGCTTTCCTGAGCTACTTTAGGGTTCTTGTGTGCTTTTTCAGATAGGTCTGTTCGAGTGGGAGTTACGCTATTCATTGTACCTAAAAATATTTTTGTTTAAAAATGGCGTAGCTTCGATTGTTGAGTCTCGTATCTTGAAAGCATATGTTGCAGAAGGCAGCTGTGCAGTTTTATTCCACGGCACCGCGTTTAGCTTCTCAACGCTGGCATGCGGCAGCGCATAAGCAGAGGATTTGAGAGTTTTTCCTAGCTGCTTTCTTAGAAGCCCGCGGATGTACGCTGCCTACAGCCAAGGCGTTTCCCTTGTTTGGCTTTGCTTTTTGTGCTCAATGCGTGGATTCCTACTGCGCGGCCGACCTGCCAGCAGCGGGAATTGAGCAGGGATGCTTTTTGCGCGGGTGCTCTGAAGAAGAAAAAGAAAGACTACGTTTTTTTAAAAGATACGGGTTAAATGTAGCCGCCAACTTGAGGGTTGGAAGCCCCCAGGCAAGCCCATTCTCGCATGAAATGGGTTAAGAGAAAAAACCAGAAAGCACGCGCCTTGCAGATGCCAAGCAGGGGCAGGCGCGCAGCCGCCTGAGTGTGCATATGCTGTCCGTTTGCCAGAAATACATGTCCCCAAAGTACTGGTTTATTGGCTCTTGCGCTGAGCATGTGTTTTGATTTTTGCGACACATGCGCTCTGCTTGATGTATGTAAGCTTGCGTCTCCTACACTTCAGACTTGTGTTTACATGCCTTGCCTCTAAACTTTGTAACCTTTCAGCCCAGCCCCAGGCAGCCACATTTTACGCTCCTCGCCGGCTGCCTTTTTGTGTTTGCAGTGCTTGCGTGGCTTTTCGCTAGAAAAGCAGGCCGGTTCCAGGTCAGCTGTGCGAGGTGTGCTCCTCCTCATAGAAGCTGTCCATGTCTGGATCGCCCATATAATCCTTTGGAGTCAGCGTTATCAAAACTATAAGATGAACGACAGACACAGTTAGTACCATAAAGGCAAGCATGCACATCGCAATGAATGGGTTTTTCGTTACTGGGGCTTTCATAACATGTAGCATATCCATGTGTATCTAAAAAATAAAAAATATTGCATTTTTATCTCCAAAGGGCCAGCCTATAGAATTTATGCTTTCTGCGCTGGGCCCACTTGAAGGCGCGCACACAGCCATGCAAGCGCGCCATTTTTGCGTTCTTTACGCGGCCGCCTATGCGCAAAGATGCCCGAGACCGTGCGAACGCAGGCGTTCTCTGCAAAGGCCTCAGTTCACACTAGGCAGGCACGAGCTCCTATGGGCTGTTCAAGCACGCGGCATCTGCTGCTGCACTGGAAATTTTTATCCCACAGCGCAGCCAGCTTGACGGGCTTTGCGCCTTGCCGAAGCTCTGAAATGTGCCGCGCACAAAACGCGGGCTTTCTTTAGACGCACAAACGCTGCCCAAGCGTGCTGGTGCGAGCTGCAGAAAAACCCCTTGCACACACGCAAACAAATAAAAAGCTGTCTTTTTCTGTGCACGCCAACGCACAAACTGAAGCGCTGCTCTGGATCCAAGCACCAGCCATCACAATAACAGACTTCCACAAGATTCCAAGCAGCAAACTCCTCTTGGCGAGTGGGGTGCAGCGCACAGGCACCGAATCTTTACAGCACAAAGCTCACGCCAGAGACCCGAGTGCCTGCATGCTTGGTTGCTCTGTAGCCTGCTAAGTTGAAAGGCGCATCCCTGCTCCTCGCCCAAACAAAAAGTGCAGCACTCTGTGTTCCCACGCGGTCTCCCATCGCAGTACTATCAAAGCTGTCACGCGCTTAACTTCAGAGATCGAACGGGTTCTGGTGTGAACGCGAGCATATGGCCGCACGTCTTTTGTCTGTGCTCCGGGCGCGTGTGGGTTTAGAGCGCTAGGCTTGCGCTCTCTGCAGGCTTCTGCTGCAATCAGGGCGTGCATAAAAACAGAGCATTTTTTTTTGGTTATATGAGAGCATGGGCTTTTCTGCTTTATGCAGCGGTTATTTACAACGTACGCGCAAGGGTTTCGTTTGAAGACCTGCAGAAGATTCAACACACTGAGATAGGAGAGAGCGGGCTGTTTGTGCACCCGGAGGGGCCCTTCAACTTTATGCGGGGGTATGTATATGCCCAGCAAGGATACATGTACAACAAAAGATTTTTTTCGCCGGAAATAGAGACAGAGTACAGTTTGACTTTTGAAGACAATTTTGAAGGCAATTCTGAAACAATGGTTAACGACTATGTGTACACGCGCAATGCACAGAGCGACCGGGCATATGCGCAGGATTGCAACACAGGCGCGGTTGTAGCCGACGAGAGCGCACGCTACTCCGAGGAGTATCACAACATGCTCATACACATGTTTCCGTCTGCGGATGGGTTCGATCTGTCCATTGAGCCAACCCACAAAAATTCATTTTTCAGCTTTCTTCAAGGCAGCTGCAGCAAGAAACAGGCGCACTATGTGCTTGCGTCGCTTCTGCTGCTGAGCGAAGGGGTGTGTGTGCCCATCACGGCAATAGACACAGCCATTGTGTTCTGGAAGAGCAGCCACGCCAAGTTTCAGTACACTTTGTCTGTGCGCACACATAGGCCTATAGCCCTTAGCGAGTGTGCAGTGTTTTCGATAGACAGCAGGGACCCAGAGTATGTGCATGCTCAAAAAGAAGCCTGTAAAGTCATACGCTTCTTCCAAGCCTATGCAGGCAACAAACCTATGCCTACCACGCAAAAAGACTTTGAAACTGGCGAGTTTTTAAACAGCGTGCAGTTTTTGATCCAGTCGTACGTGTTTGAGTACATAGACAGCAAGGAGAGCGCGTTATGCCTTCTGCAGTGCGGATACAGCATTTTAAAGAGCTTGGAAACAGCAACCGAGCTGACCGAGAGAGAAAGGGGCGTGCTCCGTAGGTGCTTTATTACATCTAAAGAGAGAGCCAGCTCCATGAAGATGCTACAGCCTTTAGTGCGGGCGCAGAAAGCGCTGGGCGACTTGAGGTGGTTCCCGTTTTCCTCGCCGGACATGAATCCTGCGTGCGCTTATGTGCCGACATACAATAAAGCAGAAGGCGAGTTCAGCACGACGTGCATTAAAAATTATGTAGAGTTCGGGGCATACATGCTGCTTTGCTGCCTCGCATACAATCCAGAAACACAAGAGTACGACATAGAGCGTGTTATTGGACAGGCTGCAGACCAGGAGGCGGCCCAAGAGTTGAGGCGGTTCTTTTCCTCAGACAAGGTCAGCCCAAACGTGCACACCACGCCAGAAGTGCTTAAACAGTGGGGTGTGGTTGTGTCGGGCCTTCCATGCAAAGACATTTTGTACTCCAACTCCGAAAGAAGCCACCTGTGCTCAGGAATAGTAAACATTCTGCATGTGGTTGCACAGATATCTGGAAGACTGCCGGCGGAGAAACAGAATCTAAATCGGCTTTTGGAGCTGTTGGGAAACAATGGGTCAAAGAAGAAGGCAATGGAATATATGTGCACGTATATACAGCATCTTTTGGGCTCTATTTCGGTGAACAAGCAGCTTGAGGTGGCATTAGAAGGTATTAGAATCAGCACTAAAAAAGGCAGAGCCCCCGAATGCTATGGAGAGATCACTTTGAAATACCGGCACGGCGGCAGCGCAGTGTCTCAGGGCTTGCGCTTAAAGTTCGTTGGCCATATAGTTCTGGTTTCTCTGCTGGCAGATAAGAATACTGTCCCAAGAGAAGCTCGCCTCCAGCTGTCCGGCTTGTTGAGCACGTACAAGGGCCCAAAGTCCTTTGCCTGGCATCTTTTTGCAGAGTACATCGATAGAGCGGCGCTTGGGCGCCACAAGCAGGAAAAAAATCTCATGAGAATCATAGAATCTGCACACATTGTGGTTAGAAGCGATGGGAAAGAAGTCAACTGTGTTTTTTTGAGGGGGGCTCTTCGCGACACATTGCCCAAAGATGAGCTTGTAAATGCTCTTGTGCTATACACACAGAATTATCGCGTTTTCATGGGGACGTCCCACCCAATTGCGCGCTTGGTTTCAAACATTCTGGGGAGCATTCAGCTCAGCGACTATACCATTCGGACGAACTTTCTAAACACAATCGTGTGCGCTGGCTTGCTGACGTGCGTGCAGAACCGGATCAGTCTGCAGCAGCCTGAGATCTCAGAAATGTTTAAATACACAGACCTATTCATAGACATAAAGCGGGCTGGGCTCAGTATGGGGTATACCGTTTCCGAAATCATCATGAAATATCTCCGGGAGTACAAAAAAGAAGCTGGCGAGCCTCTTTTTTTATGCAGCCTCCTTAACAGCCAGCCAGAAGTCCGGAGCTTGTTTTTGTGTATGTTTGCAGAAGACTCTCTTCAGCACGCTGAAGAGCTTTCCAACCTTTTGCTGGACGTGGAGAGCGAGAAGGAGCGGGAGGAGGCCTGCATTCTGAAGAATTCTCTATGCCTGTTTTTCTTCTCTGCGCTGACACAGAAAGCTGTGTGGCCGCTAGAAAAAATCAAGCAGGTCTACGCCTCTATAGAGACGGAGCCTGCGGGCGCACTGGACCCGACACGAGTGATGTGTTTTTACGAGCCAGAGGAGATGCAGAGTGCCATACATTTTATAGAAGCAAACAAAAAAATCCTTTTGCAACGCGGAGGAGAGGAAAAGCTTAGGCGTGTGCTTGAACTATTCATGAATGCGTATCCAAATGCAGAATGAGTAGAGCACTTCTGGACACTGGGCTGGCGGGCCAATCTGTGGCTCTTATGCCTGGCAGAAAGAAGCAGGAACTAGTTCGATTTATTGAATAATTTCCTACGCACACTGCTGTTTCCAGCATGCAATGGCGCTTTTTGGGGCTCTGGCAGAAAGAAGCAGCGCAACCAATCAGCGTCGCATTTTGCCCTTTAACTTAAGCAGATAGCAGTTGAAAAAGCTGCGCCCAGACAACCCGACTGCAGTTGCTTTGTTATGCTCAGAAGAAACTGCATTCTGTCCGCTTAAGCATATACCGCATGCATTTTTCACCCCAATGCGGCTGCACACGCCTTTTGCTGTCGCATTGGATTTGTCTGCAATTGGCAATGAAGCTGGGCGCATGCAAACACCAATGGCACAGCACTGAAAGCACTATTATGAAACGCCGCGGGTGGTATGCTTTTTTTTCTGCTTAAGAAAACATGCGCGCGCCTGCACGCACCAATAAACTGTTTGGGCAGCCAACTGACTCTATTTTATTTGCACAAACCACACGCTGGTTTATAAAAGAATAAAACTTTTCTTTGCCACATGAAAGAACACATCAAATTGCTTGTTCTGTGTTTTTTTGGGGTTATTAGCGCCCGCCTTTCCTTTTGGGATATATTAAACGTGCAAAAAACAAAAATAGGCGACACAGAGTTGGTTGCCAACACAGAGGGCCCGCTCAACTTGACCAGAGGATACATATATCATCAGCAGGGGTTTATGCACAACAAGCGCTTTTTTTCTCCGGAAATACAGACAAGCTACAGTGTTCATTTGGAGTTTGCGCCAATCGATGTCGAAGGATTGGATGACAGCGATGAAAGCTCTGAAGTGTATGTGTGTACGAGAACGCCTGTCAAAGATTGGGCATACATGCACAGCTCCAGCAGCCACACAAAGTTCAAAAGCAACAAGGGTAAGCTGGATTACTTGACGCAGTATCACAGACAGCTTATTAAAATGTTCCCGTCGGCCACGGGAGTCCTGTCCATTGAGGCCGGGCGAGCAAACTCTCTTCTCCGCTTCCTCCGTGCAGAGCATGTGCGCGCGCACGCCCTCCACATTCTTGCGGCTCTTTTGCTGCTGAGTGAGGGAGCCGACGTGCCAATTGAGTGCGCACAAAATAAAATTGTGCTAAAGCAGAGCATAGGCCCGCCTGTTTTTTCTCTGAGCATAAAAGTTCCTGTATATGACCTGCAAAAAAACTGCACAAAAGTAGTTTCGCAGTATGAGGCAGTGGATGCAGTGCAGTTTTTTAAAGCAAACAGAAAACTCAGGAGCTGCGACCCCAGCACCCTAGAGGAGCTTGCAACAGGAAGCTTTCTGAACAGTCCGCAGTTTCTCATACAGGCCTACATTTTTGACTTTATAGAGAGCGTGCAAGACGGGGCCCGCTTCATTTCGATTGTGCACGAGCTGATTACAGACCTTTTATGTGCAAAAAAGACACAGGGCGCGCCTCCACAGGAACTAGAGTGCTTGGAGCGCCTCTTTAAAAAGCTTTTTTCCTCCTGCGTTGCGCGCAAGGACAAAACATGCGCGATAAGCGCGCTGGAAGAACTCCAGAGAGCGCTAGAAACCACAAAAAAGTTTCCGTTTTTAAACGAATGCCAGATGCCTGTATACAAAAAAGTTCCCATATACATACGAAAAACTAGAAGCTTTGAAACGGGCGATCTGAACAGCTTCAGCAACTGCGCCGAAATGAGTCTTTATTCGCTTTTTTGCTGCCTTGCATACAACCCAAGCACCAGCATGTACTGCCTGGATGCAATGCCCGGGGCGTCTCCAGACCTGCAGTGGTTTTTTAGCGCGTACAAAACCCCCTTAGAAACCACGCCTCTGGAGGTGCAGATCGCTTGGAACCGGGTGGTCTCTGATCTGCCGTGCAAGAGGATTGTTTACGTGCACAGGCAGAATGAGATTCGCTGGGGGCTCTTGAACTTTTTGATGGTGGTTGTGCACGTTGCGGGCTTGCCAGTTTCCGAAAAAAACACTATTTCTGCTTTTATTGAGGAAGTAAACACAAAACAGCGCATAAGCAACGCGACCATTGAGGAAATAAAAAAATACACGAAAAAAACGCTGGCCGACCTCTCCCTAAACAAAAACGTGGAGGTTTCTTTCAGAAGCCTGGCCAAAGCCACAGACGCGTGCAGCAACAAAGCAGACCTTTCTGGAGAAATCCACATCAAGCACACGTACAAAAAAACAGTGCGCGGAATTGTCCTGGATCTGCGCTTTCGGCACTCTAGCGCCAAATTTCTGCATATATCAGAAATGCACCCAGAAAGCGAGCTGCGGTGTTTTGCAGACGCAGCAGGCGTTTATAGAAAAAAGGCAAACACACACTTTGGGGTGCTGCTTGCACACTATATAAACCAAACAATTTTAAGCCTGCAGCCAAGCAGCGAGAAGAGCCAGAAAAGCCTTTTGAAGGCGGTGCAGAGCGCGCAGAAAGACGCCAGCATAAATCGGCTTTTCATGTTACAGAAAATTGACAGCCAGGACTTCAAAGAAGCACTAGTGGAGTACTGCACGCTTTTCTTCCGCACGCACGCCGAAAAAAGACCGCCCAACCACCCAATCACACAGCTCGTCTCCAACATCCTGGGAAGTGTTTCCCTTGCAAATGAAGACACGCTGCATACGTTTCTGGCCGCGCCCGTGTTTGCAGGAGACTTCTGCGTGCCACAGACATATCCAAATATAAAGCTCTCTGAAAAGAGAAAAGCGCAGATATTTAAAGCTGGGGAAACGTTTTCCAAAGTAGTCATGCACAAAGAGTATGCTGCCCTCGCGGGCATGGCAGAAGAGTTCATGCAAAAATACGCCACGGTGGTTGGCACGCCTATGCGGCTGAGCGATCTATTGAACATGGAGTTTACAATGGAGCAGCTTTTTGGCTGGCTTTTCCGGGACAACAGAGAGGACTGCGCGCACAAGGCTGCAGCGGCCTTGCAGGGGGAAAGCAGAGAAGAAGACCGGCGCGCGCTTAACATCCTTTGGCTTGCATTTGCATGCAGCAAAAAGGCCCATAGCCTCGGGCTGGTTCAAAATCTATACGATGCAGTGGCCTCTGACCCCGAAAACACAGACAGCAGCGCTGTCCGGCCGTACTGCGATTGCTGGGGCGATGTGCCTGAGACTCTGGAGCGATACAAAGAGGCTCTTTCAAAAAGGCATGGGGAGAACCAATTTCAAAGCGTGCTAAGGCTATTCAAATGACTGTGGAAAGCCTCCCAATGAATAAAGCTGCGTTTTTGCTTTTTGCCTCACCAGGGGGCTGCAAGGCATTCTTTCGGGCCCGGCTGCACGCAAGCATGGCGCCGAGCAGCTTCGCGGGCGCACAGGGTGTTGGGTTTAAATTAATTTGTTTTTAAAGCGCCTAGTTGCCAATGCATTTGATAGCACCCCCTCAAAAAACCTTTCTATTGGCCTTTATCTGCATTTTTGCTTCAACACATCGCCCTATGGCATGCACGGTCGGGCCAGACCTTTCTGTTTCTGACAGCCCGGCCTCGCACGCCTCCAGCCCTATCTATGGCATGAGAGAGATAAAGAATAATGCTCTCAAAAAAAAGGCAAGTATTTGCTACATGAAGGCATGGCCCCACGACAAGCAGGGGCAGGACTCTGGGTCTGGCCCCGGCAGCGGGGAAGAAGATGCGAAGGCACTAGCAGCGAGCCGCGCTCTAGCCCGGGAGCAGGAGGAGTTTTTATCCAAAATACACCTTATAAACATTCTATGCATGCTGTTAAGAATCGAAGAGCTTTTGCTTGATCTGTCGAGCACAAGCTTGATCCACAAATACACCAAGTGCGCAATGCCATTTTCGCGTGTCTTTTATGCCACGCTTGCACAGAGACTGTCGATCGTAAATGCGCTGCACGCCATTTTTTTGCTAAACATAGCAGCCGGCACGCAGAGCCCGATGTTCAAGGACAGACTGCTGTGCGACCAGATTGTTTCGCTAGCGCGACTTCACAAAGAGGTTGTGGATCTATGCAAGGGTGCTGGAGCCTCTGGAAAAGTTTCTTTTTTGCGCATGTATGCTGTGATCCAAGGCGCTCTGGCGGATTTCTACCACGTGGTTTCGTCACATCGCACCAGCGCCAAGAATGACCTGGATTTGTGCGGAAAGAGTGTGTTTTCTAAGCTGAAGTATGCATGGTACATGTCCCCTTCTGAAATAGAGGAGTGCAAGGCGCCTGCATACATAAAGTCGTTGGTGAAGGATGTGCAGAGAAGAAACGATGTAGAGTTGGTTCTTTCTATTGAAAACGACGGCGTAATACCAAGCCTGTGGCATATTGCCTTTATATGCAAAGATCCGAAAGGAGAAAAGTAGCGCACTTTGCGTTGGACCTTGTGTGTCTATGCAAAGCGCCCGTGGGAAATAAAGGAAAGAGATGCAAACCCAAAGATGCTAGCCAAGAACAGACTTTAAAGATGTGCTTCTATTTGCTTTATTTTTGCTTCGGACGCAGCGCCCCGGCCGGATGGGACCGCAGGCCCAGAAGGCAGCGTGGGCCGCATGTAAACGCCAAAGCTTGGCCGTTGAGCACTTGCGAAACCACTAGGGTATAAGCAAAAAACAATACATTGCCATGCGAATAATCATAGAAGCCACCCAAGACAAGAGAAGTGCCGCGAGAAAAAAAAGAAGCCGCGAATAGCCCGAATAATAACCCGAAATAAAATTCTCGTCGGCCTGCTCTGGATGCTGCAAGGCGCTTATACTGTGCATGCTCAAGATGCACGGCTGTGGGCGTTCGGAGCCATGCAATGAGCTTGAGGCTTCTTTTGGCGACTGGGGCGCTTTTGTGCACGCGCTAGGCACATCCAAGCACCCTGCACCTGCTCTGTCCGTGCTGTCCTTTTCCTTCATTATTTTTAGAACTAGTTATATTTATTAACTATTTTCCTGTGCACATAGATGTTTTCCGTTATTTTTAACGTCTTCAATCTTTACACTAGTGTTGCCCGGCAAAGGCGAACACAGCCGGGCTGGCTGCATTTTTATTTTTGTGTGCAGCAAGCCGGCGGCGTTTTCCTTTGCCGGGGAAACAGCTGGGCAGTCCAGACATTTAGTTAATGGCCAATAATTTGTCTTTATTGCTTATGTATTTTGATCGTCAAAAAGATCAAAGCAAGTGTATACGAGCCAAGCATCAATACCACGGGGATTCGGCCGAGGCAAAGTTTATGGCGCTGCGTGCTTGGGTGGCATGTTTTTATGCTGGCCTCTGTGCATGCTAGGACATCCAGCCATACACAACGATGCATGCATGCAGCAGGAGGCGCTGGCCCATGCGGATTCGGGCGCCCAGGCCTGCACCGCTGCAAGGCCTGTCTCAGAGAGGAAAAGGTGTGTGCAGATCCCCGCGCTGCATTGGCTGTGCCTTCTTGCTTTACCAGAAAGTGCGCTTTTGGCAGCAGGGCTGCTCTGCTGCATGCAGCGGAGGCCAGCCATAAAAGCGCACAAATGTGCGAATCAATAAGATGCGCACTCTATATTTCCAATCTATAAATAGCATCTCAAAAACTCGTAAAATGCGAAAAGGTGCAGCAGCTCGAGGAAATCTATACATGCTTTCTGCCCACAGCGCAGACTCTTGGGTGTGCTATATTCGCTGCCTCTGCCACCGCCTGTATGTTCCGCGCCGTGCACTTAGAAGGCGACGGACCCTGAGAAAGAAAAAAAAGCCTGAAAGCACAGACAGGCGCATATGCCCTATGTGCCACAGGCACTCCAATCAGCTCAGGTAGGCGCATGATTCATTGGGCTGTGCTTTTGTTGAGGAATCTGCATCTGCTTGGAAATGCGCATGGCCTCTAGCACACAAGCCCGTGTCTGGGCCAGAGGCCACGGATTTGCAGGCACACGGACTGTGCGCTGCGCGGCCTGCTCTGGATGCTGCGCCCCGCTTCAGACAATAAGCTGCAGCGAAAATAAAGATTTGGGTTATTTGGGTTTATGTTTATAAATAGAAGCCCCTGCACTGGCTAAGGAAAGAAGAGAGAAGCTGGGCGTTGAATGCCCAAATGTACTGGAGTAAAGGCCCTGCAGGCTTTTCTGTTTGGGCCCGCTGCACTAAGTATATGTTCAAATGGCGCTTTATTTTGTAGTATGTCTTGCATTCATGCATTTATTAAAATGCCCAATGCTCAAGTGATTCGAACATTTTGATCAAAGCGCCGCACGCAAGCAGAGCCCTCGGCTGGGCTGCGCAAGCTCTATTCTCCAAAAATGCAGGCTAGGCGGCTTTTAGCAGCTGTGTAGAGTAGCAGTGCGCAGAAATGCTAGAAGCAGGCCCTGCATTCCAGGCGCTTCCACAATACGCTCGCAGACAGCTTTTCCAATGCAGCGCACAGGAAGAAGCTTGGGCAAGCAGATGCACAGCAAGGCCAGTGCACTGCAGCAGAGCAGAACGTGGAGCCTGTTTAGGCCTTCGTGAAGGGCTCGGCAAATGGCTAGGTGAGGCGCCCGACCGGTATTTATGTGTGCGCTGCGCGCGCCAGCCAAATGGCTTCAAGGAAGCGCTGGCACGCGAATGCCCCAAAATAAAATGATGGATCCGAAGCTCTTTTTTAATCAAAATGTTTTTGGGCTGGAAGAGCTTTGGAGCCGTGCATGCAGCCTGCTTTTCTCTCTGGGCGTCCAGTGGAGGAAGCCTGCGGAGGCTGGCAGAGTCCACGCGAAGCCAACGCAAAGGCTGCGCGAGTTTTCCTGAAATATCTATTTTGATTTTGTTTTTCTAATTCTGCCTACATCTGGTCGATTTCGCGCAATCCAATATTTAATGCAATATAAAATGAAAAGTCTGATCTTTGAAAAAAGAATAATTCCAAAAACTTTTAAAGATACATGGAAAAAGATAAAACGCCTAGAGAAGATAAAAAAACCTTGAGAGAATCGATGGTGAAAAAATACCTGCTGACAGGCAAGAGCCCCGCAGTAAGCACGGACGATATGCACAAAGCTATCGAGAAGCTTGCAAACAAGCTGGCTTGGCATGCATACAGACACGACTCCTGCTTGAATGAGGAGGAGGCCTCCCTCACGCTGGAGGTAGCAAACGGCCTTGTGTTCAACGAGCTTTTGAAAATGGTCCAAACACTCTCACACACTGGGCCAGAAAAGCCGGAAGCCTGCGCCGATGTAACGCGCATGGGCCTGCATTTGAAGGCCTGCGCGCAAGAAATAGCCAGCACAGTGAGCAAAGCTGTGTGCGAAATGGAAGCAAAAACACAAGATATGCACGCCAGGATGGTGGAGCCTGCGGAGATGCGCCTTCAGGAAGCAAAGCGGAAAATCTGGGGAAAAGAAGCCGAGGAGTGCGTGTGCAAAATGAAGGTCTGGGTCACTGAGATGGAGCTGGAGGGCCTGATGGCGTACAGCCGGCTTCGCGCGCAGTACCGCGTGGTGGGCGTTGAGGACGGGAGAGAAGAGGACTTAGCCCGCGTGCGGAGCTCTTTGGAAGCGTGTCGCGAGGACCTGGAGGCTGCTACTCGGCAGGTTGCAGAGGAAAAGTGGCACAGAGAAGAGTGCCGCCAAAACAAAGAGAAGTACGATGGCATGCTGGCGTGGCTGAAAATGCATGTGGATGCATGCGCCGAGGTGCGCGACACCCTGTTTTCGGGCGTGTTCAGCGCGGCGGGAAGGGCGCTGCATGGATTGCAGAGTGAAAGCACGCTTGCGCGCTTGGCAGAAGAGCTATGCATGCGCCAAGGCGCTCCAGCGGAAAGCCCCGCGGATGCCATGAAGAGAAGGCAGAGGGAGATCGAGTATTCGCTGGCGGCACATGCCGAGGAAAGAACCCGGCTTTTCGAGAAAGTCTGCGCTGCAGAAAAGAAAGAGGTGCTGCGGAAAGAGTCTGCGCGCGCGCTGACCGAAACGCTGGAGCGCAGCGAAGACGCGCGCCTGTGCAGCCTGGAGAGGCTGCTGCACACCGAGAAGGACCGCATGGCTGCGCGCGCCGCAAAGATGTGCAGGAAGTCTGTGGGCAGCGGAGGGTCTTTGCAGAAAACAGAGGCGGGCGAAGCCATCGACATGCAGATGCACCGGCAAATGCTGGAGGACCTGCTGAAGAGACAGACGGAGGAGATGGAGCAGAGGCACGCCGAAGTCCGGGAAAAAATGGCAAAGGTGAGGAGCGCCTGGCCCCTGAAGAGAGGCCTTGCTGCGCAGAAGCGCGCTGCAGACGAAATCCGGGAGATGCAGGAAAAGGTGCGGCAAATCGAGAGCAAAATGCTGCAGCTGTCTCAGGAAAAGGGCCGGGTTCGGGTTATGGACAGCGTTGCGCAGGCGCACGAGGATTTGTGGGACTTCGGGCTGATAGGCGCTATTGGAGATGCTGTCAACAGCCTGCAAGAGAACCGCGAGCCTTTTTGCGCCTTCTCTGACGCTGTGCATCTGCATGAGATGGCCCCTTCAAAGCTGCTGGAAAACGAGCCTCTGTCTGTTGGCGCGCGCCCGCAGAAGGCTGTCAGCCAAGCGCTGCCGAGAGACAAAAACATATCTATGGACGCGCAGGCGTGGAAAGACGGGAAGCGGGAGCGGATTATGGAGGAGGTGCTGCGGCTGCAGAATGAGAAGTCTGTGCTGAGTGAGGCTATAAATGCGCACTCCAACCTCATCAAGGACTTGGAGGCGCTCATAAGCCGCTCTGCAGATGATAGCATGCACGTAAATCGGCATCTGCACGAAAAGCAAAGCATGGAGGAGGCTTTGGCGAAGCTTGAAAAAAGGCTGCAAAGGGCAACCCGCATGCTGAAGCGCGCAGAAGAGACCCTGGAGGCGATCTAGCCCAGCCTGGAAGCTGCTGCTTGCAGGCATCTAGTGCAGAGGCCCGTTGAAAAGCTGCTTCCGCGCAGATCTTTCGCACACATTTATCTACGTACAGTCGATGCAGAGAGTGTCTTCGGCGTCTAGAAAGTGCGCTGTGCAAGCGGGCGCAGTATTTTTAATAGTAAACTCTGGGTTTTTCATGCTTTTAGTCCGCGCAGCTGCCAAGGAAAGCCTTGTGCAAGATGGCTCCTCCGGAAGCGTTTGTTTTCTATTTGTTTTTAAACTTTTATGGGCCTCGCCTGCTTGGTGTGGCTTTCTTCTAAGAGAAGGGCGTTGTCCGGGGCATTTCCTCGCCGTATTATGCAGGCCGCTCGGGGAGGCCTGTGGCTTGGCTTGCATCCGAATGCAGAAAGAGCCTAGAACTCTTTGGGCCACTTCTTCTCCGGCAAAGCAGACTTGGCAATAAATCTAACTGGTTCTAAAAAAGCGGACTTGGCCTGCGCCTAGCATAAAGCACCAGCGCGTTTCCCTGGCAGAGGCCGTGTACGTAATCTAAAAACAGGCGCCAAGACAGGCGAAGTGTAGAAATAGAAAAACAGGCGAAGTGTAGCAGCGCACTCCGCGCTGGAATAGTGTTGCAGCACTTGTTTATTGTGGGAGATCATTGCACTCCTGCTTCAGCTGTATTCTGTACTTAGAAAAGGCGTCTTCTGGAGAGAATCTCGCAGGGTGTGCGTTGCTCACGCCAGACGGCACCTGGTCATCGTACAGGCAGTATTTCTTAGCGCCATCAACTACTGTGTATCCAATGCAGCCCATAATGAAAAAATGGAAAAATGGAAAAACGAAAATGAAGGCAGAACAGCGCAGAATATGGGCTGCTGTGGCGTGCGCGCTTTCTGTTAACTGGGCACACTCTTCATACAGCACTCCAGAAACAAGCGCGGCAGGGTGTTTTTTGTATGCTGCGCGCTTTTGAGCACTCTTTGCGGAGTCGCCTTAGGACTGCCTGGCGTCTGGGCTGCATTTGGGCTGGCGCCTCCGAATGCGGCCTTCCGCACGCGACTGCATACATAGCATTCCCAGAAAGCCCCAAAGCCTGGAATATTGCTTTGGGGCCTTCCAGGGTGCCAGATCTGAAATGTGGGCGCAGGATTGCCGCGTGGAGAGCGCCAAAGCATAATTTTGCTGTGGAATTTGGCAAAAGTTCCAATACTTGCACACAATCAACCAGATGGCGCAAAACTCAGAAAATGATGCAGCCCCAACATGAGCATGGCCCAATATTTAAAGAAGGCTGGAGAATTTTCGTATGAATTTATGTGTGATAGCTGCGCTGCTCCTTTCTTTTTAGCTATTTCTCTGTTTAGCATGCCCCATAGCTGGACAAGGGAGTGCAAATGCAATGTGTATACAGACGGCCCAAACATGCGCAAAAGTCTGTTCCGCATATGCTCGAGATCCTGTGCCTGGTAGACGGCGTGAAGAAGGCCCAAAGTCCAGCGACTTTTGCAAAGGTGTACAACACCCTTTACTGGGACAGCACCAACAGAGACACCTGCGATATCGAGACAAGCTATGTTGTAGAAGACGGGAAGGCGCCGCGCGCAGATCCAAGCATGCTTCCATTTGCCTTGGCACAAGATCAAAATGATGCATGCCGACAATTGCATTCTATGTTTCGCTATATAATAAATATCTTACAATACCCCGAATATGGAAAAAGTACTAAAGCATAGCAAAGCAAAAAGGATATTGTGGAGTGCTGCAGTTAGCGCTGCTTTAGCGGCTTGGAGCTCTGCTGGCGGTGAATTTTATTCGGCAGATGCTGAAATGCATGGCAAAGAAAGCGCATCCTGCGCCCTGCATGCATACAAACCTTTCTGCCAAGATACAAATAGCCTTGTTTTGCTGTCAGAAGATTTTCATGCTGTGCAAGACACAGGTGTTGTTAAATGGAAAGTCGGAGATGCGTGCGCGCAGGGCTGTGCTGCCTTTCATCCGCCGGCGCAGTTCGGGTTTATGTTTGTGGAGCTTCTTGCTGCCCTAGGGCCGGGCGTTGAGGTCAAGCACATTGCAATGCGCAAGATCGTGCAGCACCCAGAGAATTTTGCAGGCTTGGAGATAAATGGCGTCCCGCTGACCTCTCTAGCTTTGCAGACGCTGCGCTTTATTGAAAAGCATACGCGGGCCGGCTTCAGCCTTGCGTGCTTTGACAGCACCGCGCAGCGCTTCATGTCGCCCTTTGCGCCCAACGGAAAAGTTTTTTTTTCTGTGCACACCTGCTTTCTCGAGGAAAAAAGAGACAAAGGGCTTGCAGTTTGGGAAGGCTTGGGCCTGGACGATGATCTGCATTCTCTTTCTGTTGCTGTGCGGTTCTTCTTCCGGATGCCCGGGGTGTTCCGCGACCTCATGCAGCTCCAGAACCGCACGCTTTATAATGCGGTAGAACTTGTGTGCAAAAGCCCGAATAACAAAAAAAAGCTGCAGCAGTATATGCGTCTATGGGGAGAAAGTCTGCACTTTTCATCGGACTTTTCTTTTTTCTTGGAGTGCTTGGTCGGGGTGGCAGGTGGCGTGATTGCGCTGCAGGAGAGCGAACCTCCGAAAAGCCGGCTGCATTTCAAAGGAAAGCTGGAAAGGCTGAACAGCTGCATGAAAAAAGATGGCTTTTTGTGCGAAGGCCCCCCATCGGGTATGGAGTCTACTTTCATTAAGCAGATCTATCTGCCGATGCTCCAGGGGTTTCTGTCGTTCTATGCAGTGTGTTTGGACCATGTTACAGGGTTCCGCGCCCAAGGAAAGCGTGCGTTTTTCCCTAGTGAAACCCACACAAGCACGTTCAAGTTCTGTAGCGTCAGAAAAAGAATGTTTTATTGGGAAGTCAAAACCGAGGAGAATTCAGAGTTTCTGGGGTTTGCAGATGTTGATAGGCCTGCGATGATAGACATGCAGCACGTGTGCTATGTGGATAGCGAAGAGCAGGCGCGGAAGCCCGTTGTGATTCCGCAGTGCCAGGCCGAGATATCCTGCGCAGAGATCGCAAAGTACATTGCCGACCTGTACGAAAAGCCGCTGGAGCACATCCACGTGTTTTCCCTCAATCTCTTGACGCTTGCTCTGACATACAAGAACCCCGAGAGCACTCCATACATCAGGGAAAACAGCGTGAATAATGAAATCCTGGTGTTCTATTATATACCGGAAAGCGTGCTAAAGGACGCAAGGCTTCGACTCGTCATGTTTTGGCCGCTCAGCGAGAAAAGCCTGGGGCCTGCGCAAAGGGTTGTGCGCCTTCCGCTATTTCTGGGCAGCCTAATGTTTGAATCTTTGCCTCTATCAATGTATATGCCCCACGAGAACAAAGGCAGCATGCAAGACTTCAGCCATATTGAGAGCGTGTTCGCAATGCTTAACCAAGCTCCACACGTGTTTTATTTGGGCGACACGTGCTCCCAGGACTACTATCCACAGGCAACCGTGAGGTTAGACTGCAAAAACATGCTAGATCTAGACATAAACTATGCGCTCTGCTCCGTCAGCTGCCACGGCCCGACCTCACAAGGATACTATGCTGTTTCGTATAAAACAAGAAAAGTCGAGAGAGAGCTGGGACACACGGTTTTCGTAGACAAATGGGCAGGCCTGCCCGGCGAGCAGCACATGCCGGATTTTTTCAATGCGCTGCAGAAGAAATTCCAACACCAGGGCCGTATGGGTTCTGCAAGCCTTTTTTGGCGCGTGATAAGCGACCAAGAAGGAAACGCCCTTATGATCCTTCTGGGGGCCGCGCAGTGCGCACAGCTAGGCCTCTGCGGCAACCTTCTGCGGGTTATAATGGGGTAGAGCGGGCTGCAATGCAGGTGGCCGTGTGAAGCACTGTTCTTTATTCTTTTTCGGCCTGCTTAAATGCTTATGTATTTAATCTATCATGCTTTATGAAGGGAGCTAACTCTGCCAAAGCAGCAGGCAGCAGCCCCGAGGAACTATGCTTTCGGCGTACAACAGAGCGCGAAAGAAGCACAGAAAGGGCGCGACATCTTTTCTTCACAGAATGCTGTGTGTCTTAGAACTAGTTCGATTTATTGAATAATTTCCTACGCACACAGCTGTTTCCAGCATGCAATGGCGCTTTTTGGGGCTCTTTGCAAAACTTGCAAAAATAAAGAATAAAAGAGAAAAATGGAAAGACAGTTCCAAATTGCTCATTCTCTTCGTTCTTCATCTGCTCCTTTCACCTGTCTGCCCCGTAAGCTCCTATGCGGCCTTTCGCAGATATGCTTCTTTGCTTCCTACGCGTTCCGGGCGCATTCCATTACTCTCAATTGTTTTTGTTGTACTGTAGTAGTGCATTGTGGTAGGGACAGAAAAGCAGAAAGTGGACAAATACGGACAAGAGCTGCGCATGCACACGGGAGCCGGAGAAGGGCAGGCCGGGCTTTCCTATGGATATTGAGGTGTCTAAGCGCGACGCAGAGTATGCATGGAGTTCCACAGGTGCTGGCGCAGATGCTTGGGCTGCAGAAGAAGGGGGGTTTGGCGATTGAAACAGCTGGGAACCGAGCAATTATTAAAAAAAAGACGGCAATGACGTGCTGGTGGATGCGTGCGTGCATGCCAGTTCTTCTGGCAACCAGCAAGTGGTGCGAGAGAGCATTAGTAGCCGGAAGATAAATTTTTATCTTAGGTTGGCTTTCTGGCAAGAGTAAGCACAGTTCAGTGATCTGTTCAAAAAGAGGCCACGTGTTTGGGGACACATAAACAGGCTAGGGAGCACGCATTATTAAGCAGGCTGAAAAAACAAAGTACAGTGTTCCCCGCAGGCGCTTCCGGCACTGCAGCCCTTGGCAAGAAGGCGACACGCGGGCCCTTGGACGCCGGCAAGCAGAAGGGCATGTGCTTTGCTTTTTGTTTTTGTAGTGTGCAGTTTGATCTCGGCTGTGCGCGGATTTACTGTTTTTGTTTGGAAAAAAAACAATGTGCCATCTCATGCTGCAAAAATCAGAAAATTGACAGCTTTTAGCCAAACCCTGTCCAGAACTTATAATGGCTTGAAAAATGATATTATTTATTTGGGGAATTAAACACGAAATAGACATCACCGAATAACAAGATATAAATAGCTGCGCGCCGTGCCTTGCATGGCACATACATATACACTGAAGGCTGCAAAAAGGGCGCGGCCCGCGCTGGCTGGGTGCCTGCGGCTGCTGCTGGCCCTGCACGCAGTTGTTCCCCTGTACGCAAGCATGCCGCACAAAGACATGCTGGAAATACACACAGAGCCCATAGGCGACTCCGAGTCAGACCAAGTTTTTATCAACGAGAAGGGGCCGCTTAGCCCTGTCAGAGGAGAGGTGTTTTTAAACGAAGGATATGCGTTAAACATGAGATTTGTGTTCCCCGGAGTGGTTTCAAGATACAGAGTGGACCTTTTTCGAGGCAGCCGCACTGGGCAGGACAGGTATAAGTATGTTAGAGACGCGAAGCACGACAAGCCCTGCACGGATGGCATATGCCCGAATAACCCCCAAAGCAACAAAGACCAGTACAATGAGTACATCGAGGAGTATGCGTCTGTCATTATCAAAATGTTTCCTTCTTTGGATGGCGCGCATCTCACGATCACAGCAAGCCGAAACGACCAGTTCACGAACTTCCTGCAGAATCAGTGCACGAAAGAGCAGGCCAGCTACACGCTGGCCGCGCTGCTTCTTCTGAGCGAGGGCGTGGACGTGAACATTAGCGCGGAAAAAGGGCGGTTGGTGCTCTACAAAGACGCGCGCGCGAAGGAGGAGGTTTTCAACATAAGCCGCAAAGACAAGCGCACGAAGACAATGCAAAAGGAGACGGCCCAGATAGTACGGTTTTTCAAGACGTACAAAAACATGGTGGAGCTTCCGACCACTCCAGAAGGTTTTGCAACCGGCGAATTTCTAAACAGCACGCAGTTTCTGATCCAGGCGTACATATCCAAGTATGTGCAGGGGAGAAAAAGCGTGCTGGAGCTTGCAGGGTGCGCGCACAGCTTGCTGGTTGGCATGATGCGCGAAGAGCCCGTGTCTCCCAACAGCGGGGACGCTGCATCCGACGCGTTCAAAAGGCTTTTCACGCCCGCGGAGGACGGAAGCAAGGCCCTTGAGTACTTCAAGCCGCTCAACACGTTGATGCATGCTGTTGGCGTTGGGTCCAAGTTTCCGTTTGCAGAGAAATGCTTGGTTCCAGAACCCAGGAGCGTGTATGTGTACGACAGAAAGGCGAACGCGTTCACCAAAGAAACTTTTACCAACTGCTGCGAGGCCGGGCTTCTTGCGCTGGTCTGCTGTCTTGCATACAACCCGAAAACCGACAAATACGATATGGACGGGCTTCTAAAGGGCTGCCCCGATCCGGCTGCGACGCAGGATCTGAGAGAGTTCTTTGCGCGCAGCGCAATTGCTCCTAACAGCAGCATTACACTAGATATGCAGGCGGAATGGACCAAAGTGGTGGCAGACCTTCCTTGCGACAAAATAGCGTACAATCACAGTAAAAAGAACGACATTAAAACCGGGCTAGGAAACACCCTGTACGTTATTGCACAGATAACAGGCCGCATGCAGGCCGAGGAGAAAGAGATAGACCGCCTTTTGCGCCAAGTGACCCCCGACTCCCCAATTAGCACAGAAGTGGGTCTGGCTATTGAAAAGTATCTTAACAAGTTTTTTGTTTCGCTTTCGGTGAACAAGAGGCTGAAAGTGCGTGTGCGGAATGCTACAGGCTTCCGTCTGCGCAGAAACAAGGCCCTGTATTTCCCAGAGGCCAGCGGGACGGTTTCTTTTGAGTATCTGGATGCCAAGGGAGAAGGATTAAACTCTTTGGTTATGAAATTCAGTGTAGGCCACATGCTGTGCTTTGCAAAGCCCGGCACTGGGCTGACACAAAAACACTACAAGGCGCTAAAGGAGGCAGCCGAAAAATACAAAGCGGATAGGACATTTACCTCGTGCCTGCTTGCGCACTACATCGAAAGGAAAGCGTTTTCAGAAGCACCGGGGAGAACGGATGCAGAGAAAAACGAAAGGCTGTGGAGAGTGCTGACTGAAGCGGCTGAGTCCTGGCCCAGAAGCCTGAACAGGCTGTTCCTGTACGGGCCTACGCTTACTAAGCATGAAAGGGAGCTAGCTGTGGCATGTCTTGCTCTTTGCATGAAGAAGCAGGGAATCGAGTGCTCCATGCAGCACCCCATGGCCCGGCTCATCCACAATCTTGTTGGCACCACTCCAAATCTAGGGGACCCCAAAAACTTCACTGTAACAAGCAGCCTTCTGTCTGCTGGATTTTTTGACATACTCTGCCCAAACATTCAGCTGTCGAAAAAGAGACGGTCTGAGCTCTTCGAACTATCTCTAAGCCACATGGAATCCTATGCCCTTGAGCGCGGCCTCTCTGCCGACTGGTCATTCCTTGTACTGGATCATCTAAGAAACTATTACAAAGAGGACGGGCGCCATTTGTTGTCTACGCGCATTTTGGGGCCAGAAGGAGCAATTATATACTTTGTGAGAGAATTTCTTAAGCAGAATACAGCAGAGCACGTCCGCTCGTTCTGTGCGATTTTGTGCGAGGAGGCGCAAAGCTACAAAGCGCATATGAAAGGGAAGCTTCGGGGAATCAAGCCCGAGTTTGACAAGCAGATGGAGTCATTGAGAAACACATGGCTTCTTTGGTTCCTTAAGCATGCCATCTTGAAAGACCCGGGCCAAACCCAGCTTATCCACGAGCTGTACAGTCTTGTTCCTTCAAAGCTGCAGCTGAGCCATCCAATTTCCTACTTCGGCAGGCTTTTCGAAAGGTACGAGCCCCGGGTGCTGGAGTGCTTTATCAATAATTCGGAGACTCTTTTGAAGGCCGGCGGGCGGGAAAAGTTTGCTGTTTTGTGCGAAGCTTTCACGTCGGACTGCTGGTTTTAGTTACCTGCCCTAGAAAAGCGTGCTGATGTTTTTTCGGTGCGTGCAGAGTGCAGTGCAGGAGCTGCCTTTGCGAAGCTTCCGAAGATGGGCGTGCGCAGAGGAGGTTTTGATGGTGGAGAGCAGCGTGCCCGAAGGGACATTAATGTTTTGCAAAATAAACGCTTTTTAAAGATACATGTTCCATGCCAAAGGCTGGATGCTTGCAGCTGGGCATTCGCTGTGGCAGGATTGGCAGCGCAACAAAACAGCGGCAAAGTGTGCTGTGTCTGTTCGAGCAGGCTGGGCGCGAGTAGAAGGCAGTGTTTCGCGTGGGCATCCCCCATGGCAGCTAATTAATGGAAAAAGAGGAAAAAGAAAGTTTGCTGCACATTCTTCATGCAGGCAAAGCAAATTTAAAGGAAAAGAGGCCCGAAGACTGAAATCCAATCGAGAGAAGTTTTATTTTTGCTTTGCAGGGCCGGAAGGAAAGGAAGCCTCCAAATGGAAAGGCTTTTAGAATTCGGGCGATTCTAATTGTTTGGCACAAGTTGTATAAAAGCGCATGCGTATATACTGCTAAGAGCAAGCGGCAATCCAGCGCATACAAGCATTTCTCTAGCCGGCGGACCGTGCAATTTGGCCGTACTCGCATGCGCAGCGGCTATCTCTTCTGGTCTATGGAATACTGGAGTATGCCCTGCATGCCTTTGAACACCTCTTCTCCGCTAGGCATCTCCAGCAGGGCACTCTGGTACGTGTTCAGAGCCTCCAGAATCACGGCGGCTGCTTGGCTTTTGATAGAAAACACGTATTTGTTGCGATTGTATGCCTGTATCGACCTTGGCACAACCCTGCTGCCCAGAGCAAGCACCAGCTCGTGCGGGGTGCTATCATCTTGCAAGCTGGCGAAGAACACGAAGAGGTCGAAGACCACCTTGGCGTCCAGTGCCCTCTCCCGGTCTTTCTCCTCCACATCCATAATAAGCGCGCGAATTTCGTCTGTGTGGCGTGTTGACTTGTCTGCAAGCAAAACAGGAAACATGCTAGAGATGGTGTTAAAGCTTTTTAATTGTAAACACCCGAAAAGAGACTCGCGCGCCTGCTTTTTGTACTCTCTAAAGTACTTCATAATGGCGTTTGCTGTGGGTGCGCAGTTGTCTCCGGTGTAGCTCCCTATTTTGATGATAGTGCCTGTGCTTTTATAGAGTATAGAAGTTGTTTTCTTTGACAGGGCGATTCTTGGAAAAAGGCCGCGCAACATGTCCAGAAAGACTATGTGCTGCATCCCATTGTATTGCGTTACGGAGTCATCCAGCGGAAGGCTGCCGAGCAGATTCGAGAGGAGGCGCACGCCCGGATGCTCCTGGGCGAACTCGATGCCTTTTGCTGCTGCATACAAGGTGAAGTGCTCGGAGAATTCTTGTATCTGTTTGCTTCTCAAGGCGTTCCCGAGCAAGAAAAGCTGGTTTGGGTGCGCAGAGGCTCCATCGACAGCCAAGCGCTCTATGAACCCCCGAGTGTCTTCAGTAAGTTT